GTAGATCGATCTTCGAGAACACCCTTGTAGTTGGTCGAAGAGATCATCTATCCTTGGCAAAGGATAGCGGTTCTTGATGGTAGCTTTGTTCAACTTCCTATAGTCAATGCAAAGTCCATGCTGCCATCCTTCTTCCTCACGAATAACACCGGTGCTCCCCATGGTGATACACTAGGGCGTCTGAACCCCTTCTCCAACAACTCCTGTAACTGCTCCTTCAATTCCTTTAACTCCACTGGTGCCATACGGTAAGGAGGAATAGATATCGATGCCGTGCCAGGAATCAATTCAATATCGAATTCCACCTCTTGCTGCGGCGGTAGCCCAGGAAGATCTTCGGGAAATACCTTGGGGTATTCCCTGACGACAGGTGCACCTCCTTAACATGAGCTAAATATGCTTCACATCCTTCTTGAATTAATGAGAATGCCTTAACCGCGGAGATTAAGCACCCAAGGATAAGCTTCTTAGTCCCTTTGAACAAAGTAGTGCCCTTTCCTTCCACCTCCAGGCTAACCTCCTTCTTGTAGCAGTCCACCTTCGCTCTATTCTTTGACAACCAATCCATACCCAAGATAACATCGAACTCGTCGAAGGGTAGTAGAATTAGGTTCGCCTCAAAATCGTGCCCCGCCACGGTGATAAGACAATCACGAATGACCGAGTCCACTATAAGGGTATCCCCCGCTGCGGTCCTGACCCCTAAATTCTGCCCCAACCTCACAAATGGGATCCCTAAGGTTCTAGCAAGCTTGGTAGAAATGAAATAATCCGTGGAACCGGAATCAAATAATACAAAAGCGGGCTGGTGGTAAAGCTAGATCATACCAGTCACCACCTTAGGTGCAGCGTCAGCTTCTTCTCTCCTCATGGAAAACAGTCTTGGTTGCCCAGATGCTTGAGATCCTTTCCCTCGATCTCGCTCATTGCGGTTGAACCGCCCTGCATTTCCTCCCTGGCTGGTTGCCAAACTGCTGTCCGGTCTGAGTTCTTCCTCCTCCGCCCCAGACTGATTGTTGGGACTGGGCTATCCCCTGTCCTCCTCTCTTAGGGAAATCTCTGGCATAGTGGCCCAGCTCGTTGCAGTGATAGCGGATGCCTCCCAGATGCAACTTACACTTTCCCGGGTGAGTTCTCCCACACTAGTTGCATGGGTCCCGAGGAATGTAGGTCGGCCCTGATCTGGTTGAGCCGACCTGACTCTGGGTGGCCCCATAGTAGCTCTGGGATGGTCTCCTTCTCTGCTAACTCGGCTGTCCTGGCCCCTCAGACAGGCTAGCAGTCTTTCTCTTGTTCCCTTCTCGTTGCATCCCCTCCTCATACAGAGATGTATCCGCCCTCTCCAATCAAAGAGCCGCCTGATAAATCTCTTCCCTGTTGTTCCAATTCAGTATACTCAGCTGACGCCGAAAAGCAGGCTTCAGGCTCTCCAGGTAATGGATGTGTTGAGCTGCTACATCCTGAAATTGAGGCCCTCCATAGGTAAGTAGCTTGTCAAACCTGGCCGTGTACTCACTCACACTTTCCCTGCCTTCATTGCCCCACTTCTGCCTGATCAGCAGAAATTCCCTCTGCTTCCCGGGTCCTAGATTTGATGACTACTCAGTGAATTCTTGTTATCTAGCAATGAAACTTTAATGCAAGTCTAAACTAACAAACTAACAAAGCAAGTAAACTGTTGTATTCAGGTTAAGAGAGGTCACCCGGATATGGTTCCCCCTAGACTGCAGTTAAGCCGGATTGTAATTACCAAGTTCAGTTTCTATGATAGTTATACTGCGGAAAGTTCTTTAACAGCCTGAAGTCTCGACTAAAGGTCTTCAGACCCTCTCAATCTGAGTCTCTAGCGGGCGACTAACCTCCACCGGAGTAAACAGATTGAGGCCTTAACAAACAAAACCTCCACTACCGGAGTAAATCCGGTACATAATAGTGAGTTGGCTCCTCGACTAAAGTCACCAACTTCCTACCTTAAATCAAGGATGCTCTATCAACCTAGGCAGATATTCTCATTCTAGGTTAAAGCAGAAACAACAGGAATTTGATCAGGATTCAAGTCATTCAATCATTCAAACCTCAATCGAATATAATCAAATCATAGAATCAATACTTGGGTTCATACAATCAAAGCCTAACATACAAATCTAGGGTTCTCCATACCCAGATGAATGGGAGAACTACTCCATAGAGAAAGAAGCAAAAGCAGAATCAGACGCGGAATTCATACTGTGAAGGATGGATTCCTGCTCCTGGACGTTGATTGGCACTTCTCCAAGCTCAAACTGGCCTCCAATGGTGTTGAAGATCAAGCTAGGGCACTTGGAGACTCTTGTTCGTTGCTTTCTCTCTCTAGGAATCGTTCTCTCTCTCAAAAACTCGAATCCCCTTCTCTTAGGCTGAAAATCTGCTTAAAAAGGCATCACTTGCCAAAGCACGGTCGAGGGCACGGCTGTGTAATGCCTCAGCCCGCCCGTGCTTTGGCTAGTGTTAATTACACGACCATGTGTTGGGAGAAACACGGCCGTGCTTTGGAGAGAACACGGCCGTGCTTTGGGAGAACACGGCCGTGCTTTCAGCCCGTTTAATCAGCTCATGTTTGCCAAACTCGAATTAGCTCTCGGCAGTAAAAGCACGGCCACAGAACACGGCCGTGTAATGAATTAGGTGTGCCCGTGTTTTGGCTCAAGCTCGACGAAATGACTTCCGAATGCCCCAAAACTCGTGCTTAGCCTTTCCTTTGATGCCTGGGACCTGAAATATGACAAAATAGCACAACCCGGCGTAAAATAGGCCAAAATACACGACTATGCTCCTCAAACGGATAAGAACTAGGGGCGCAAATATGTGCAATTACATCGTTATCAGACACTGTCAGCAGTACTTTGTCCTCATCACCAGCTCTCATCTCGACCAGCGTACGAGTGACCTTAGCTAACCACTGCTCTACTTCCATGGGGTCTGTTGAACGCCCTCCCTTAAAATCTTCCACCTTTCTCTTCCCGAACCCTACATAGTCTGGTGGACGTCTCTCTAGTAATGGCACCGGTGGTGTGGGGTGCGGGCCAACACTTGCACTATAGACGCACAGGGTTTCGTTAGATCTCAGTTATTTCTTCCTTGATATGGTTTAGAGTAGACTGGAGATTCTAAAATCTTAAAAGAAATCCTTGACTTGTTTGGCCAAACTTTGACTTGAAATCTTTAAAACAAAACCTTTAAAACTGAGACCGACATTCCAATATTTCTTGGAAACCAAGAAACAGAGGAAGACCGGATCTGATACCAAAATGAAACATCCCACCTCTTTGAATTTGGAAAAAAAGACATTTCTACCCCGGGGTATACGTTAAAAATCTCAAATAACACAAGTTTAAATAAAATACCAAACTCAAATATCTAAATATCTCAAATTGAAGCCTTAAACACGTGGGCAAAACTCAAAGTGTTCAAAAAAAAAAAAACGAATCTCCAATCTTTAACTCTTAACCATAAAGTCTTAATAACTTGAAAAAGTTCTCCGACGCTTACTCTGACGCCTGGCTCGACATCTCTCAGCGACGATGGTGATGAGCTCCTCTAGCTTGCTGATCACGGACTGGATGGTTAGGATTTCCTCCTCTACGATCTAGTGAGTGAGTTGGGGTCAGTCTTCGCCCTTACGATTGAAATCTCTTACATTTGTTACTTAAGAACTTAACTTAAATTGGTGGATGGTACTTCCACCCTCTAAGATGTTACTCTTAAAACTCAAATCCCACTTAAAAAAAAATTTGACTGACACTGGGGTCCCTCACTAGCTAGTCCGGTTGCCAACTCAAACGTATGAGAAGCCATTTAGGCTTTCCTTAAACTTAAACTTAGTTAGGGGAGTCGTAACGATTCATCCCTCTAACATCTTAAACTTATCGTGGTGGCTCTTCACCACGATTCTGAAGAGCATAACTGCTGCCCACTTAAAAGTCTCAAGAGCATAACTACTGCTCTATCTCAAAATATCTCAAAAGGCAACGGACTGGCGCTAGTGACTAAAAACACTTAAAACGACCTCACCTTCTTGAAGGTGAGTTACTTCTTAAAAATAACTTGTTTCTTAACTTTAACAATAACTTATAAACTTAAAGCTTTAATTTAAATAAGAACTCATGCACATTCACATCAAACATAACTCAAACAAAATCACATATCATCAACTAGGAGCACAATCAAACAACGACAATCACTTCATCAAAATACTTAAGGCTTGTAATTCTTGAAAGAACACGTAAGGCATAGAATTTACCCCCTTTGCACTCACCTTGTAAGGCTAACTTCTCGATCCTTTACTCGAAGAAATCCCTCCTAGCCGAAATATCTCGGTGCACCTCTAGAACGTGCCTAGGCCTAGGTTGAATGACCCGGGACTTTGATCTCCTCGTTGATCGAACCCTTAATGTCACCACTAGAAACACGAAAGGAATGAACTGGGAAATCGGGGTCGGGATCGAGATCGGGGGCCGGGATCAACTCCTTCTCTTTTCCTCTTGCACGCGCGGGGCTGGGGACAGCGACAGTTTGATTTTTTTTTTTGGTTTCTGGGGAAAAGTCGAATGGAGGGAGTTGCTGGCGAATTTTGTGCCTGGCGGCTGGGTTTTGGTTTTTAAGGCGGCTGGGGAAAATTGAATGGAGGGGCCGGCCCTCTCTGGCCGCCCCATTATGCCTCTTTTTTTATATATAATGATAATAGGAATAATAAAATAATAGTTATTATTATTATTATTATTATTATTATTATTATTATTCCTAATCCGCGGTTGTAACTCTTAGTACGCAACTGTCAACCCAACCGATCACATATTATGGTCAAACCATAACCCAAACTTCGGGGTGTTACATTTCCTCCACCCTTATAAAAATTTCGTCCCCGAAATTTGAACGGTAGAGCAATCACTTGAACGATTTAATGCTGTATTCGAAGAACGATGCCAGTTGGCCTCGAAACATGAACAGTAGAGCAATCACTTGAACGATTTAACGCTGTATTCGAAGGAACGATGCCAGTTGGGATATAACACCTAACCTTGTTGGGGATGTTTGCTTAGTCCACAATGAGAAGGAGACTCTTTCATATTCGGTGTAGGACTTTTTAATCCGAGTTCTTCACCTATAAATATAGGGCCGGGCTCATTAGTTTGGAAAGGTTGCACAATCACACAAAAACCTCTATACTATACTCGAGTAAGAGGTTAGCTTGCATAGGAGAGTCTATAACTAAGAAGATGATTTCATCATCAATGGTGGTACCCTCAAAGTTTCAAATCCTCTAATGAGGTGCTTAGTTTTCTTTTCTTTCTTCCTAGCCTCGAGTTCAACGGTAGCCTCAAATATTTTGCCATCACCTTCATCCCCTACAAAATCTCAGCTGTATATCAATACATTCATTACCACCCACCAAAACCCACTTCTCAGTTCTTCACTCCTTCCCTTTCCTACACCCCTTCAATCTAGATCTAGCTTGAACGAACTCAATCCAGCTTCTTACAAAGGATTTTTGCTTACTCGTCTAGTTAAAAGACCAGCCTTCTATGTCTGTCGTCTCTTCCTCTTAGGTTCCCTCACATTCAGCAAGTTCAAGCTTGGGCGAAGAAGCTCTAGAGCATAGATGGTGGCGTTAGGGTTTCGGGGCTGGGTAAGAGACTACTTCTATTTCAATTTCCTAGTGAATCCTCCGCACATTGGGTCTTTACAAGCGGTCCCTGGCAACTCAACAATGATATGTGCTATATCCGGAAAAACCTAGGGCAGAGGTACAAATTTGGGTAAAGGTGATCGATTTACTGCTGAAATACACAAAAGGGAGAATTTTGACTAGGCTTGCTAGTATGATTGGAAAGCCTTTATGGTTTAATCAATCAACCAGAATGGGAATAAGGCTAGGATACCCAAAAATCTGCGTTGAAATGAATGTCGATATGGAGTTCCATGATTCTGTAAAGCTTGTGCCTGATCATCGACCAACCTTTCATCTGCAACTGGATTACTACAATAAGCCATTAGTGTGTGTTAAGTGTCATCATTTTGGACACGATTGTAATGCTTTGAAGTAGCAAGAGGAGGTAGTCTACCTGATCCAAAAGTGGAAATAGAATAAGGGGAAGTGGTTGCAGCTATGCAGGACAAGGGGGAAATAGTAGACTCGAGGGTTGTTGAAGTTCAGGCTAGGGGTGGGCGTTGGTGCGGTCCAAACCGTTCCGCCCACTCCAAATCGCTTATGCGGTCAATCCAAACCGCACCATTAATATTGCAGTTTCAATTGCGGTATAATTCTTAAATGGTTTGCGGTTTTGCGATACGGGTTGACCGAAACCGCACGGTTGCGGTCCAAAACCACAAACCTCTTCTCACAATACGCTAATCTTCCCGCCGCCGACATCGAACCAGTACGGTTCCTCTTGCAATCCATTCCCGCCGCCGTCCCCATCTTCCCCCTTCCCCTCGCTATCCATTCTCGCCGAGCGCCTTCCCCAACTTCTATTCCCTCTCGACTTACGAACCTGTGAAGTGCTCAATGAAATGCAACTATGATCCCAACAATGGTTTCTGCATCTACAAGATTCAGTAACAGTATGCCGAGATTTCAGTGGTTGCGTCCTTGGCTGGGTCATTATCGAATTTGACAACGATCTTGCCATTCTGATTGATAAATAAATTTCGTACATGATCATCGTGGCTCTGCATATTAGCAGCGGTTAGCTTAACAGGGGATGAGAAAAGACGTTAGTTATTGCTCATCTGATGGTGACTCCAATTTATATATGTTTTCTTAATTTGTCAAACACCCAGGTTAATTGAGTCATAGTAGAATTAGTTTTTCTTACTAATTTCAAGTGGTTAAATTTGTTAAAGAAATAAGATGTATATATATAAAATTACTTTTGTTAGAGTTACGGATGACCAGTGTAGAAAGTCAATTCAAACTTGTTAATTCAATTATGCATAGTCCACATTACATTGCGGTTTGAATACGCGGTGTGGTTTGGATCGCACCAAATTGCTTATCTAAGCGGTTCGGTTTGACCGTATCAATTAATTGCGGTCTAGTATGCGTTGCGGTCCAAATAACATGCGGTGCGGTGCAGTTTGTGTTAATGTGGTGCGGTGCGGTTCGAACCGCACCAATGCCCACCCCTAGTTCAGGCTGTAGGAGAACTATCAAGGGAAAATTCGGATGTTGTAGAATCACCTGGATTGCATATGACAGTTGCTAACCTGGTCTCCTCATTGGAAAAGAGTACTAGGGGAGACTTCTAAAGTCAGATTAGTGTGCCTTCCCTCAGATAAAGAGTTTTAGCATGCAGTAGGTAATGGTGCTCACTCTAGTCCAGAGAAGGGACATCTGGTTCAAAATTCTTTTGAAGTGGCTTCTTTTGATCATTTTGCTGTTGGATCAATGGTTGTTTCTCCTCTGAAGTACCCTCTACAGTTCCCTGAACTCAAGAAAGAGATGAACATATTTCCTCTGTTCTAGGGTTTTGCTCGAAACTCACGAGCGAGAGAACGACGTTGGTGTCGATAAACCTTAACTTTATTGATTGATACGGAACTAATGCCCAAGTTACATATTTATAGACTCACGAAAGCCTAATATGTAACCTAGTCCTACCCCTATTCGGCTACCCCCTCCCAAACACAAAAGGAAAACTCGACCCAAAAGGAAAACACCCTAACCCAACCCAAAAAGCCCAAACCAAAAATCTACTCATCAATCCATCCCCCTCAAAGAACCTTGGTCTCCAAGGTTCGATCCATGCCTAGGCGGTCTACGACGATGACAACAGCAACTCTTGCGGCGACGTTGAGGCTTTGGTCGCTTCCAAAACTTCCAGCCTCTTGTACGAACCATGTCCCACTTCCTATATCTTAGACCACATTGAAAGATTCGTGGAAGACCTCCACCATGTACATCATCTTGGCCCCAAATAAACCTCTGCGTTGCTCGTCTATGTGGAGGAACAAGCAGTGGTCTTCACAAAATTATCACTGGGTCATCAAATTCCAAGCGAACCACCGGCGCACGACATGTTGTTGGCTGCCTATCGACCAAACCCAGCAAACTTCCTTCAGCACCGTCTCCCTTGGATTGAGCTCTAGCTGCGATGACCTCCTTCTCGTAGCTTCCTTGCTGAACAACAACTTCACCTCCCACGGATCGAGTTTCAACTGCTACTTTCTTCACGGATCTTTCAGATTGAGGGATGATATCCTCACTTAAATGGGATACACCTTTGCGCACTGCTTCCTTCACGCCGATCTTGTTGACGGAGATCTTGATATCCTCCGTTGCCCTGATTCCATTGGCGTCGACGCGGGCTACGTCGCCATCATTGCGCTTCCCTGCGGGGATAGTTGCGCGATCATCGTTCAGCTCCCACTCGCGGCATCGTGCCTTGAGTTGCTTCAATGTTACGACCGCTTCTGTACAAGTCGCCACGATATCCCGGCGTAGTGCTATCGATCGTAACTTCAGCTCGCGGATCTCGGCTAGGTCGAGGACCATGGCTCTGATACCAATTGATAAACAGATTCCCTCTGTTCTAGGGGTTTTCTAGAAACTCACGAGCGAGAGAATGACGTTGGTGTCGATAAACCTTAACTTTATTGATTGATACGGAACTAATGCCCAAGTTACATATTTATAGACTCACGAAAGCCTAATACGTAACCTAGTCCTACCCCTATTAGGCTACCCCCTCCCAAACACAAAAGGAAAACTAGACCCAAAAGGAAAACACTCTAACCCAACCCAAAAAGCCCAAACCGAAAATCTACTCATTAAAAAGACCCAGGTCCTCCAGCACGAAAGGGTAATAAGGTAGGTCGGCCTCCAAAGGCCAAAAATAATCCTAAGTAATGATAGTTCTAGCATGGAATATGTGATGATATAATCAAAGTAGTGCAGGGTCAAGCTTCTCGAACCAAACAGAACCGGATAGGGTGGAATTGATAGGACAATACTCACTCGTGAATAGGGGCAATCGATATGAGATCGATCGGACATATTCAACTTGGAATAGAGGGCACTCAATATAAGGGTAGCTCGCCACAACCAGGGTGAATACCTAGCTGATAAGAGTTTGCTCTAACTCTGGTGATACCGAAAGAGAATTAGAACTGAGTTCCTCAAAGGAAACACGACAAAGCCTTTAGGGTTTCTTCTCAAAATTGTCTAACCCTTAAACAGATGGTTCGGCCTCGTTAAATAGGCAAAGTACAACCCAAATTTGACTCCAACATGGAAAAACAATCATAAACCGACTTTAAAACAAGGAATCCCGAAAAATATCCCAGCAAACCCGTTAAGCCCAAACCGTTAAGCCTGAACCCGTTAAGCCTGGACCCGTTAAGCAAACCCGTTAAGGCTCCTTCTTGCAATCTCCCTTCTGTCCAGCACTTACTCCTTCTTCCTCCACTCTAATCATCATATATGGCTTCCCTCAATACAGCTCTACGTCCATGGCTCCAAAGTAGCTCTCCAAATTCATTGCAAGCTTCTCCTTCAACGTTCTTGCCTTTGCACGTGTGACTGGCCCATTGATGTCCTCATCAGCCCCTCCTTCTTCAAAAGGATTTTCCCTCAAATCCGAATTTCCATCCAAATAAGGTGCAAGGTCAGAAACATTAAACGTTGCACTTACTCCATACTCTCCTGGCAAGTCGATCTTATAGGCATTGCTTCCCACCTTTGAAACCCCCTGGAAATGACCACCACAACGAGGCAACAACTTGGATTTCCTTTGCTGAGGAAATCTCTCCTTCCTCAAGTGCACCCACACCCAGTCGCCAATTTCAAAGTGTCTCGGTTTCCTATTTTTGTTCACATTGCGCATGATCTGCTCCGTCCTTCCCTTAATGTTCAATCTCGCCTTCTCATGTAAACTCTTCACGAACTTGGCTTTCTTGGCTCCATTAAGATTGACCTGCTCTTTCAAAGATAATGGCATCAAATCCAAAGGAGTGCGGGGATTGAAACCATACACGAGCTCAAACAGAGTGAACTTCGTCGTCGAGTGCACCATCCTGTTGTAAGCAAACTCCACGTGGGGAAGGGAGTCCTCCCAAACCTTGATGTTGCTCCTGATCACAGCTCGTATCATCTGGGACAGAATTCGATTGACAGCCTCTGTTTGCCCATTGGTTTGAGGATGACATGTGGTAGAGAACAACAGCTTCGTTCGTATACTATAGAACACGACATCCCATGCAATCACACCACTTCTGTGAAAAACAAATTAGCCATGTTAATTGCATCATCAGTCTTATGACACGAGATAAAGTGTGCCATATTCGAGAATCGATCCACCACTACGAAAATCGAATCTCGTCCCTTCCTTGTCCGCGGTAAACCAAGCACAAAGTCCATAGAAATATCGATCCATGGAGCATATGGAATCGGCAGTGGTGTGTACAATCCAGATGATGGCACCTTCAACTTGGCCTGCTTGCACTCCATACACCTCGCACACACAACAAAACGAAGGAAAATAACACTAGAAGTGCAAAACGAGCACTACTTGAGGTTAGCATAAAAATTTTCCTTCCTCGGCATCGCCAACACCTCTCGCAGATGATTGAGATGATCCTCCATGCACTTCGAGTAAATCAGAATATCATTGAATTAGACGACCACGAATTTGCCAATGAATAGCCTCAAAACGTGGTTCATCAACCTCATGAACGTGCTAGGAGCATTGGTCAAACCAAAGGGCATCACCAACCATTCGTATAGACCATGCTTGGTCTTAAACGCAGTCTTCCACGCGTCTCCCTCCTTCATACGAATTTGGTGATAACCTGATCTCAAATCAATCTTGGAAACACCATAGAGCCATACAATTCATCAAGCATATCATCTAATCGTGGAATTGGATGACAATACTTAACTGTGATCTGGTTAATGGCTCGACAGTCTACACACATCCGCCATGTGTGATCCTTCTTCGACACGAGAGTCACTGGAACTGCACACGGGATCATACTGTCTCGAACATTCCCTTCTCCATGAGCTCGTCAATCTGCCTTTGCAGCTCTTTGGTCTCTTCCGGATTAGCTCGATATGCTGCCTTGTTTGGAATTTGAGCTCCCGACACAAAATCAATTTGTTGCTCAATTCCGCAAATAGGAGGATGCCCTTTCGGTGCTTGCTCTAGAAACACGTCCTCAAACTCTTCCAACACCACTCTCCCTTTGGCTAGAACTTCTTGGACTAGCTCTTGATTGAGTAGCACTTCCCTATACATGAGCACAATCAAAGGTTCGCGTGCACATGCAGCTTGCTTCAAATCTCCACTGCGTGCTAGCATCACTGCCTTCGAATCCACAATTCCAGCTCCTTCTTCTCCTTTCTTGGCCGAGGCATTACTCGCCTTTTCTTTCTCTCGACGTTGCTTCATGTGGAGTTGATCTCGATATACTTCACTTGGAGACAGAGGCTTCAACACAAACTTCTGTCCTCCATGTTGCAACTTGTACTTATTTGTCACTCCATCATGTTGTGCTTGTCGATCAAACTGCCACGGCCTGCCAAAAAGCACATGTGCAGCTTGCATAGGCACTACATCACACAAAATCTCATCTTTGTAATCTCCTATCTCGAACTTCATTAGTGCCTACTTTGTGACTTTGATGGATCCGTGATCGTTAAGCCACTGCAGCGTGTATGGCTTTTGATGCTTCAATGTAGGTAGCCCAAGCCTCTTTACTGCACGCGCACTCACAACGTTCGTGCAACTTCCTCCATCGATCAACTTTCCATCAACTACACATCTCGTATGTAAGATATTTTCTCGTTGTTCACTCTCGTCCTTAACCTGCGCAGTCAATACCCTCCATGCTACAAACAAGCTGCTTGGAGGTGGTTCCATTTCCATAGACTCATCGACATCAGAATCAGTGGTCTCTCCCTCTTCCTCAGATACATACTTGCCATTATCAAGCAAGATTAGGGTCTTCTTATTGGCACACACACTGGCTCGCAATGTGTCCTCTTCCATGGCATTTGAAATAATGAATTTCCCCCGACGATCCACCTTGCTTTATAACTCGAGTTGCACCATCAGCCCTTGCCGCGGGTCTAGGAGCTTCTTTCACGGGCAGTTGCAGCTTAGGATTGGTTGCAACTCCTTGGCTCAAACGTGTGGGATTCGTGGAGGGTTGAAACCTCCTATTTTGAAGTTGTCGTTCCACTTTACAAGCCATATCCACCAAATCTTCAAGTTCAAGGAATAGTTGTATCTCCACCATTGATAAGCCGTTAATTGCACATGTTTTTACCCCTATTCTGGAGCCGTTTGAGATGGTAATTCTCGTGTTTTAGGCCGATTTCACGCTAGGTTGTGTTTGTTTGTGATATTTCAGGTCCTAGCAAGTGAATGAAGGTTTAGGAGCGAGTTCGGGGTCGATTGGACGAAGATCAGACGCGAGGCAAGTCAAAAAGGAAGTCACACGGGCACACCCACACCTCACACGGCCGTGCAAGTGACCACTTTGGCCGTGTGGGATTGTGCGAGCCTTCACACAGCCAGCCCTGATATTCACACGGCCGTGTGGCCCTGGCCGTGTAAGAAGCCTGAAATCCAATTATGCGGAACGCGGCGTTTTGACCTCACACGGGCAACAAGGTATGCCACACGGCCATGTGGCCCTGCCCGTGTGAGTCGGGAATTTCTGGTTTTTACCCAATTTCTGGCTGCAAGTGGGGAGAATCAAGTTTTCAAAGCAAAAACAGAGCCCTAGAGAGAGAAAGTACGAAGAACACATCCTAGAAGCTATCTTGGAGCTGGGTTTCATCAAATCAAGCTTGGAGATCGCCATAGGAGTGGAAATCATCATCCCAGAGCAGATTCTTCCCATTGATATGAGTATGACTGCTTTGTATTCTGTTTTCCTCTCTCTCTCTATGGAGTAGAACCCTTCTCTCACTTGGGTACGAAAAACCCTAGTTCTATGTGTTAGGGATTTGATTGTAATGACTTGGGATGATATTACTGCTTGGTTTTAATCGAATAATGCATGTTTATTGAGTCAATTAAAGTCTCATTAGCTTTTCCTGATTTCTGCTGCAACCTGAGATATATAGAATCTGATTAGGTTGTTAGAGCCTCATCATTCGGTAGTAGGAGATTGGTTATACGTGAGTTAGCCAGCTTACTGATTTGTACTGGAATTCAATTCCAGTAATGGAGTTCTGTTCTTACTGCTTCAGCTTTCTATCCCGGTGAAGACTAGTCGTCTGCCGGGTAGTTAGACTGAGAGGGCTTGGTCAGCTGAAGATATTCCAAGCTACTGTCGGATCTTCCGCAGTCTAAACAACAGTAAATCAACCCAGGGAAATTACATTTGAAACCTAACTAAGGAGCTAGGGGGACTCATTCCCGAGTGACTCTTCTTTGCTTGAGAAAACCGTACCAATTCCTGCTTTCTTTCTACTTTTGCATAAAACAACAATCACTTAACTTAGTTGGCTAGATAATAGATACTCACGGAGTAAGCAGTAGATCTAGACCCCGGGTTGATAATAGAACTTGCCATTTTACTGCATTCCTGGACTACGATTATACTTGGTCGCAGTTTGGTGTTGTGTTTTGGCGTGTCAAGTTTTTGGCGCCGTTGC